CGATAGTTCTTCTTTTATGATATCCGTCACCTTTCCAATTTCATGCTCCACTTCCATCATCAATTCATCTCCTTGTTGTTCAGTATCTTCTCAAATCCGCTGTGGGATTGATTTGATTGGAGCGGGATTGAGTATCTCTACTCGTTGCTCTAATACTTGTAATTCAGTGTTGATACGTTCAATTTCAAATTGATTTGTTAGACTTACACTGAATTCCACCAAAGGTCTTTCGACCCTTCCTGCGTTACAAGGAGCAACCAATACTTCACCTTTGATACTTTTAGCTATCACGTCATTTCTTTGAAGCAATAGCTTTGCTGCTAGAGTTGGATCACTTTTTAACATCCATTCTATTAGCAGTAGTACGTTGTTCCGATTCTGATAGCTTCTTCGGTATACTACATTCAGACATTGATTGAATTTCACTTCATCGTAATTCCATAGTTTTGGAATACTGAATTGGATGCCAGAAATCCATTTACACTTACTTTTATCTTGAGATGCTCGGGTTTCCACAATACACATTACTGCCAATAAAACCAAATTTGTTATTATACGACGAGACTTACTTGAATTTCCTTGTTTTAGTTGACGCTTAACAGCACTTCTCGTTCTAGCTGCAACGGGTTCTTCATGTCCTTATGTTGGATTATCAAACGTTGGTGATTGATTTCTTGAGTTAGGGCTGCTATCAATTTCTAAAGGGTATAACACCTGTTCAGGCATCTTCCATGTGGCATTTCTATAATGGCGTTCCTTATTTCTCCATCTCTACCCTTTTTTACTTCCTTGATCTTGGCCAATTTCCATGTACCACGAGGGACTACCGGTTCATTGACTAATACTATTTCACCCTCACGTGGTATCCTCACTTCCATATTTCGGGCAGAAATATGGTTCCTTTGCGTTCTTTCTCTGAGACTGGTTAAATATTCATTTCTCCAAATCTCCCAGAATATGTCCAAGGCTTTAAGAGTATTGTACCAATACTTAACAAGTTTTTCCTTGTCGCTTAATTTATGAGGGGTAAATTCCTCATAGTTGTCGCTGTTGTTAATTGGAGTGACCAGAGAGGCATTGGAGGAGATGAAACCAATTGGGCGAATGATTTCGTAATCATCAAAGTACGTCAGTGGCCGGGTATTAAGTGTACCTTCAATTTCCACTATCAGCGTTACCAATTCTCTCTCTCACAGTAGCCTTCTTCCAATAGCTCTTCTTAAAGCCTTTTTTATCATTCCAATGATTCTCTCATAAAATCCTCCACTCCATGGTGCTTTCGGTGTGATATTTTTCCAGACCATTCCCTTTTGTGCCAAGAAATTCGACAATTTGGTATCCTGTTCCATAATAGTCTTGAATACCAATTGAAATTGACTGGCGTTATCACTTAAAATTGATTCAGGATAACCTCTTCGGACAATGAATCTTCTTAACAAGTGCAAAAAGCTCTCGGCGGATAGATTCTCTGCCAGTTCTAAATGTACCGCTCTAGTTGTGAAGCATATGAATAGAGCTATCCATCTTTTACTTACTCCATTGTCATTTTTGAAAGATAAGGGACCTAGATAATCTAAACCTATATGCGCAAAGGTTCTAGAACGTGTGACCCATTGTTCTGGAAGACTGTGCATAGCCGGTAGTTTGAATGGTTTAGTTGTCCATCGTTTACAGGCCATGCAGTGGTTCAGAACCC